AAAATCCGAATCTTTTTTAATTTTTTTACTAATAAGAAATGAAATATATTAATGGTCAAACTTGTGTGATGGCAAACATAAAAATTGGACCGTTGCAACTAAAAAGAGAACAAAAGAAGTATATCGAATTCTAATAGTTGAACTTGTATTCATTTTAATTTGAGCTAATTAAAATTATCATTTATTTTGTTATCCTTCAAAAACTTTCAAATTAAAAGAATTTAAAAATTGAGCATTTGAAAGACTTTGGAGGGTTATAAAAACCCTCCAAAATCATCTCCTCCAATTTTTTAAATTCCTTGTTCCAAAAAAAGGTGGAATCTCCCACCCAGGAGCCCCCCACCCCGATCTGACAGGATAGTGGGGAGGTTAGTCACTGTGACTCAGTCAGCAGAATGACAGTAGGCTCATACACTCGTGCGCACCAGAAGTCCAGCCTTATTTCAGGTTCTGTGACCTCCACCGGTCGTTGCGGGGATTCGAACTTTGGTCCATTGTTCCAAATCTCCCACCACTCGACCAACTGAGCTACCCGTGCGGGTCCAATTTTTTAAATTCCTCAAACACAAATAAGAGGGTCAATTGACCCTCACATGCCTCCTCTCCCTCAAAAACCAACTCCAAACACACTTCAAAGTTTCAATACATTATCATACCCTCCTTCACTTTAAAAATACGATTTTTCCCTCTTATCCTTTAAAAATGGTTACATAATCTCTAATTTATTTTAAAAATAGTTTGACAAAAATGTGCCAAAACGTGTCAGCAATATACGCGACGAACATGACACCACGTTAATGTGTCAGCATCAAACTATATACGATCGTATATACTTCATGTTCTGTGTGCAGTGTGTTGTTATATTTTTTTTTTTGATAATCCAGGTGTCGGGGCTTACGCTCCCATAATCCTGGAGTCTATGAACTACCCTCCAAAGCCCCTAGACAGTTAAATCCGGATCTGATCACAGTCAGCCTCGTCAGTACTGGCTCCAAAGGACGAATCCAGCAGGACTTACATCACCTTTCAGGCTGCTCCTCCCACCACACGAACCCGCTACCTTCATTACCATCCTCTCCCTTCTCAGTCGCTGAGCAACTCCGTGAAGGTAGGAAGAATCATTGGGAGCAAGACCTCCCTCCTCTCCCCTAAATGTGCCTAGCGGGATTCGAACCCGAGACCTCCGCTAGGACACGGTAACCTTCCACCCAGTGAGCTGGAATGGTTGGTTTGTGTTGTTATACTTCATGTTTCGAAAAATGAATCAAAATGGTTCATATTTTTTTATAATGAAAAGCACTATATGATCATATTTAGAATAAAAATCTAGGTGTGAAAATGGATTTACACATGGTCTCGGTGTGAAAAATATAGGGTATGTTTGGCAAATGGCTTATCAGCCAGCTTTTAGTTTGTTTGACCCATTTCAACTGTTTGATAAGTCAAAGAAGCTAATAATAATGTTTGGTAAATGACTTTTAAAATTAGCTTGTTGAGTTTGAAAAGCTGAAAAAATGGATTGTGGAAGAAGCTAAGGGGAGCAGCTTCTTCATTTGGCTGGTTCAATTTACACTCTATCAGCCATTTCGAAAGAGCCAATTTTACCAAACAGTTATTTATAATCAGCCAACATAACCAGTCGGTCAAAACAGCTAACACAACCAGCTGTTGCGAAACAGCTGACACAACCAGCTACCAGCAACAGCTAACAACCATTTACCAAACAAGGCCATAATGAGATTAGTGAGATAAAATATCTAAACATAATTTCGGCTAGATGGTAACTTATAGGACAATTGAGGTTGTATTGACAAGCAGACCATTATTCAAACGGCCAACCTAAACTCTATAATTATGGAAATAAATTATTTGTACACGAAATTTGTACACATTATGCACGCATTTATATGTAATTATTTGTGTACACAGAGAATGTGTATACCTCCTATTTACATGTGTACATAGGCAGTTCGTGCTATATTTTGTGTGCATATAGACAATTACATACAAATGTATGTGAAATGTATGTGAAATGTATAAAAATTTTGTGCAAACCAAAAATTCTTGATTTATAGACTATAGTGGTTGAAGGTTACGTAACTATACTGCTACACTTTTAGGTAGGTGCGATTGTGTGAAACTGCGAAAACAAGAGGCTAAGTCCGACTTTTAACTTTACTAATTCAAAATCACAAAATGTGTGTTTGGTAATTAGGATGTTTTTAATTAGACTAATTTCAGTTGTCCCACACCAAATCAGATCAGAGTCTAGGGATGGACCCGGGTCGGTCCGGTTCCGGTTCCGGACCAGGTCCGGGCGGGCTTTTTTTTCAAATGGTTGGGCCCGGAACCGGCCCGGGTTGATATCGGGTCCGGTCCTAACCGTGCCGGGCCGGGCCGGGTCAAGTTAAAAATATTTTTCTTTGCTTTCTAACTAACCCCGACCCCCCCCCTTCACCCCCACCCCCAACCCCTCCCCCCCCCCCAAAACACCCAACCCTAATCAAGAAAAACAAAAAAATTGAATAAAAAAGGTCAGGCCCGGCCCGAATCGTCCGGCCAGTTCAACAAATACTGGGCCTGAGCCCAGCCCGCCCACCCCTCCCCAACCGGGTAAAAGCCCGGACCCGGTTAGCACCAACCGGGCCGGTCCGGGCCCGCACAGTTGCGGGTCGGGCCGGTTCCGAGCCGGGCCGAACCGGTTGGGTCCATCCCTAGATCAAATCATGCGAGACTTCGACAATTCATTAAACATAAATGGTATTCCCACCAATTAAACATTTATAAGATGAGTCTCTCATACCTATTCTAAAACTTTTTTTATCATAAAACATCGGTTGTTATATTAAAATCCCGAAACATACAAGACAACCTGCAGATAAAATTTATTGATCCAATCGTGAAACCTAGGAGTAGACTTAGAGTCAGCCACCTCATACAAAGCAGCATGATTCGTTAAACCTGAAACAGACAAATTTAGGCCTAAAGCGACCAAAACTCTGCCTATCAAAAGAACTCTAAAAATCCAAACATTCAAACCAAATTTACTCGGACTAAAACAGAAACAATTGCTACTAAAGTGAAAATAATATTGAAATAAAATCTTTTCACAAAGCTCTTCTTGGTATGGTGCTCGTTCCGGAGGAGGACGAGCTCTTGCAATATGGATGAATACCAACTCCACCACCGTCGAAATGATCGATCAAGGCTTCACGATCCAGCCTCGATACAACTTCTCAGCCGCACCTCGTTCATCCGTCAACGATATCTCCTCCGACATAGTTGCAATCTCAAGCGTTAGAACACTTAAAATCAATATAACTTGCCGCACGAACCCCATATTGATAGCGGCTACGAAAAGAATCTCAACCCCTACAAAGAGGGGAGACGACCCGTAGAGTTCCTCTCTCTGGAGAGAAGATAGAGGCGATATTACTTCCTGCTCATTAATATTGTTAACCCGTATGTTTGCTTGACCCATTCTAAAACTTAAATAGTCAAACTTAATTATGCCCAAAAAATAATCAAGAAATAATCATTCGGAGCAAGTCTTGAGCGAAGAACGGGAGACTAGAGGACTTGGGAAGGAACTGATAGGAGTGTTTGGGGTATGTGAGGGAGAGAAAGTAATTAAGGAAAAGGAAAAGAACAATTTAGAGAGAGAGTTTTTTTGAGGAGTTTTTTTAGAGAAAGAGTTCTTTGCAGATTTTGCAGATGATATGAATTTGAAAGATTTATATGGTGAGAGTGTGAGACTATCTTCCCCATTTTTGTGCCAATGAAATCTTCATGTTGATGGCAATGGTGCGTAGGCATGGACCCAACCGGGCCGAACTGGCCCGGAACCGGACCGGACCGCTACTGTGCGGGCCCTGGACCGGAGCGGGCCCGGACCGGAGCGGGCCCGGATGGCCGGTTTTGGGCTTTAGCCCGGTTTGGGTAGTTCTGGCGGGCCGGTTCCGGGCCATGATTTTCATGAACCGGTCCGGGCAGTTCGGGCCGAGACTGGTTCAATTTTTTTTTTTCAATTTTTTCTTTTCCTTGGGTAGGGTTGGGTGTTTTGGGGGGGGGGAGGGGGTTGGGGTGGGGGTGAGGGAGAGGGTCGGGGGTTAATTAGAAAGCAAAAAAATTACATAGAACCGGCCTTGGCCCGGCCCGGACCCGGTATCAACCCGGGCCGGTTCCGGGCCCAACATTCCGGAAAAAAAAGCCCACCCGGGCCCAGGTCCATCCCTAATGGTGCGGGATTAAAGTTCCATGTGTGCGCTTGTCGTGGTCTAGTGAGATTCTTGCTCGTAAGGCTTAATTATACTCCATAACAATTATGACAAGCTAGAGTTGGACTCGGGTCGGGCCACCCGGCCCGTGGACCGGCCCGGCCCGCTACTGTGCGGGACCGGGACCGGCCCGGTTCTCGGGTCCGGGTCCGGGTCGGGCCAAGGCCCGGGGGGTAGGGCGGGTCCGGGCTCGGGTCTCAATTTTGGTGAACCGGCCCGGCCGGGTCGGGCCAAATTGAATTTTTTTTTTTTTCATTTTTGGGGTTCCACCCGGGTTGGGCTTGATGGGTAGGATGGGTTTGGGGGGGTTTGGGAGGGTGGGGGTGAGGGGGGTTAGGAAAGCAAAAAAAAAAAACCAAACCAGAGGCCTGGCCCGGCGCGGACCCGGACCGGACCCGGTGGCTACCCGGGCCGGTCCCGGGTTCACTATTCTTGAACCTCCGGCCCACCCGGGCCTAGGCCCGACCCGGACCCAGCCCGGACCCGAGTCCATCCCTATGACAAGCCCTTTTCTCGAAAGCTCTCAAAAAATGTAAACGCAAGAGTAAAAAATTTCAAAATTTGGTGAAGGGATGACAGATGACTTGATGAGGTCATTGGGAAAGAGTTGTAACTTGTAAGCTAATCAAAAGTCACATACGCTCCCAGATCTGGAGGCTGGAGCATTATGGTGGACTATTTTTCAGTTCATTTAATCCGCAATAATGCAATATAAGTGACATACTATAAGTGAGATTCTCCCATATTTGAATTTTAGCACCAATACTTACATATTACATATTTCACAATTACACCATGGTCATCTCATATTAAAACCAAAAAGTTACTTTGATAAAAATATGATACATAAAACATAAGAGTTTCTTACACCAAATCTTTATAGGGGAAAAAGACTTGGTGAAATCATCACATCAACAAGAATATTTCCCTCAAGAACATGTGTATCTGTTCACTCTTCAAATTTACACAACATTACTTCCAGCCCTATGAGTATAAGTCTAGGTAGTGATTGTAACTCCTCCGGTTGAACTCCAGAACACTTCCGTATGTTCCGTAAAAAGAGCTTCAGTGTCAGGGCTGAAAGAAATTCCAACAATCTCACCAAACAAATCAATTTCCTGACTTGAACCATAGTCGGACTGCGAGTCGAATATATGCACAAAATCAGTTCCCTCTACCATAGCCATGTACCGACCATCTGAAGTGAATTTTATCGCCCGAATTGCCCCCATCCTTCCTTTGAGTACTGCAAATGACTTTGACATATTCCTTGCATCCCATAGTCTGCAAGTTGTGTCCTGATTGCCCGTCGCTAGAATTTGTCCATTGGGGTGCCAGGCCGGAGAAAATGAGAAGTCTAGGTGTCCTTTAAGGGTATCTATTACCTATAAAGCAGTAACCAAATCATAACCATTTTAATAAAAATGGATCAAACAGTTTTCCTTAACTTTTCTGCTCATTAAAAAGTTAGAAGAAATTGTTTTAAATAGGAGTAAAACAATGTAAAATTCCAGAATATGAGTGATATATTTTTCTCAAAATAGGAGTAGTCACTGTCAATATGTCATGATTGGAAAACGCTACCGATTAAGGAAATAAATATTCTCATGTTAATGTCCAGTAAAGCCAAAATATGTTAGCAATGATTTCAATGAGGAATTAATACCTCCGTGTTACTCCCAGTGATGTTAATAGCGGCGCTATAGCGCGCTATAGCGGTTTAGCGGAGCGGCAGACATGGAAGGTGCTGCAAGGAGGGTTGTAGCGTGGCGTTTGGGTGTAGCGGCTATAGCGCCCCGCTATAGCAGTGGTGCAGAGAAGGTTGTGGCGGCCGCTATAGCGGCGAGTTTTGTGGTAAACGGGTACTGCACATTCCGAGAGGGTTTTTTGGCATTAATTTTTTTAGTCGCAGATGTAGAAGGGGTAAACTAGACTTTTAAAACAAATTATTAACCCACTTAAAACCCTCACACGTACGTAAAGGCTCCAAACGGCTCCAGCTTTTGAAAATACTCCGTTGATGCTCTGGATGAGTTCTTCTCCAAGAAAGCTCTTTTTCTGCTCTGCGATTGGTTTTTCTCCAACAACGACACATGCTGCCCTCCTCTTCCTTCATTCTTCTTAGTAGTATCTTCTGCTGCAACATCTTCTTCTCCAACCTTTGCTGCAGACCTGCAGTGAGTCTTCTTTTCTTCTTCTCGTATGGGGTCTACTCAGTCTACTGCCATGTTTAAGCCCACATGAGAACACCTTGACCCATCTTGGAAGTGGAACAGTTTGACTGTTAATATATCAAGGCTTAAACTCTTAAACTAAAACCTTATTTTTGATTCAATGTTTTGACTTAAGATGTTTTAATCATTAAAAGAATCTTTTGTTTTGCTCATGAAACTAAAGAGTATTTCTAAGTAATTTAGGATTTATGAATGTTATGATGTTTGCAACCTTCATTGACATATACTACGTATCATACTTTTTGAAGTCAATATGTGTATGTAATGTATTATATATGCTTATAGTAGTTACTTATTTATTATATTTGAAAGTAGCCTAAATAACGGTCATCCCGCTATCCGCTATACTGCTATAGCGTTTTTGGGGCTGGCCGCTCCGCTCCGCTATTTGGGATTGACAACACTGGTTACTCCTACTCCGAAAACAATAGCACTCCGATGAATACAGAAATTCCAAACTGAATATTATTGATGGCTGCCTTCGCTGAACCCTAATTAGGGATATAAATACCCTAATTACGGAATACATAATCCTTATTAAAATACTCCCCAGGCTCAATAAAGAAACAACAGAATAATTAATAAATTAAAAGTTTAATAAAAAGAAACCCAGCCCACGGAGGTGGACTCAAGCCCGTCCCCGCCTTCGGTAGACCAGCAATGGTCTCGGTCTCTCCTCCTCCAATTCAAGTTGCTGCTCTCTATCACACTCATATTCTGGAAATTTTGGGAAATTTTGGGAAATTTTCCAAAACTTATAATAGAGCAATATCATATTATTTCAAGTCCCTATATAATTATAATGACACATCTCATTCAGGGTGTTTAGTGAAAAAAAAAAACTAAATGATGCATGAATTTTCCTCGAAGTGGGTCCAACTCAAATGAGACCAAGTGACCAACAATGTAGGCATTCCAAATTGGTTACATTACATTCAAAATGATTTGGAAAAATATTGAAGGATAAAGTGAGACAGGAAGCCACGACATTAAATAGGAGGAGTGTGTTATGAGCATGGTGGGGATCCCACTTAGAACCTAGAATTAGACAAGGCAAAAAAGAGGTCACAGTTAAGCACGAGGAGGCGAAAGAGAGGTGGGATAACGAATAAAATTCATGATTTGGGACAAGAGAGTATCGATAAGTATACGGCAGAATTAACCTCTTACCTAATTAGTCATGACATGAGAATTAATTCTTCAAAGATTATTGCTGAGGACCCTCATATACTTATCTCAAAAGACACAACGTTACGGGCTACAACAACAACAACAACATCCAAGCCTTAATCCCAAAAGAATTTGGGGTCAGCTAACATGAATGGTAATAATAAAGCTAATATGACTCTTGATGATAATACCCTAGCATGAGGAATGGCCACATCAGAGTGGTGTACACCACACACTAATGACTTGTTGATTTAATCTAAATCATTATTTTCTTTGCTACACTTGGCTAAGGGAGGGCATGGGGGAACCTATTCTCTGTAGTGAAGCTAGGCTCATAAATAAATTGAGTTGGACATTTCAATTTTTGAGTCTCGAATTGACATCACATGGATGTACGTAGGTCAATACACTAACCTTTCCTGACTGAGCATCAGCAATCAAACATTCTGAGCTGTCCCCAAGAACAGCAATCATATTACCATTTGGACTGATAGAGGTGTTCTGTTATATCTTAATATTAATATACGGAGTATATAATAGCATTAACAAAAATGTTAATAATGTTTCAACACAAGAGTATCTTGATTAAACCTGGATCTAAAGAGGCGGATATTACATTCACGCACCAAGGAAATGTGAAACACCTAACACATTCAAAGAGACATGTCTCATTTTTTCGTTTTGGAAAACGGTTTGGTAAACGCGTTTTTCTGTTTTCCTTTCTCCAGTTTTCCAGCAATTTTCTTTGGTAAACACGTTTCCTGTTTTCTATTTTCTAGTTTTCCAGTTTTTTGGAAAACTGGAAAATATCTCTGTTAGTAAATAGGCCCTAACCCTTGCATCATTATTTGCAGTCATAACCATGATTGTACCACGGAAAAGAATACAGAATATGACCTTTAGCGTTGAGCGATAAAACCATAGCAAGATGTCTATGGAAAATATTCCGAGAATTGGATAACAACATACTTTGAACTGCTAAAAATATCTACAGCGTTAGTTACCGCATTGTCTTCAGCAGTTAATTTTGTGCAGAAGGCAACTCCAGGTCGGTTTAGGAACTGCAGAAGTAAAAAATCACACGAATGATGTAAAATAAGAGTACAGTTGTAGTTCAAAAAATTGATCTACTCTTAAAATACCTTGCAGATAAACTCGCCTTGGAAACCACCTGCCACCATTACATTCTTTGACGGCCATGGTGCATATCTGCACTCTGGCAAGAGTCTGGGAAAATGATCCACAAGATTTCTGGTACTAAAAAAAAGGCAATTGATGAGTGTTTGGTGTCATAATGACCTAATGTAAATGACACACGAATTAATCTTCTAGTTACCAGTGTTGGTACTAGTGGTTTAGCAACATTGAGTATTTGTTTTCCATTTCTTAGAAGAGAAGACCAGTGCTTTACTGAGTAGTTTTGCATCAGATACACATCATGCTTTGAGGTACACCACAAAAGGTTCCTGAGCTGAAACAAGAAGAAATCCCAAATTTTCAGTGATACTGCTACCCATCAATGGAAATTAAGATAGCAAATGTTTTAATTGCCTTTGATGCACACAAGAGCATAGGTCAAAAGAGAATTGTTGTGTTCATATTTACCAAGTTATGCTTAAAAACATGATCATATTTACCAAGTTATGCTTAAAAAGACATACTAGATACTACGTACATCATAGTAAAAGCTAGGCCAGAAGGAAAAAAATAAAATGTTTTCAATGATGCTATGTGCACCGGGCTGCTCTTTTATCTATGATGCTAAATCATTCCAAACACACCATCAAGAGAGTCATACTCGCATAATATCACTTCAGCAGTTCAGCGTTCAGCTCAACAAGTTAAAAGCATACCTCAAACTGTCGAACACCATTTTAAATTCAGCACATCATGTTGACTTCAATTCATCCACAAATTTACTGAGCAACACACGATATTGTATAAGATATATTGGTTGAGCACTGAGTAGCCAGTACTAGATTTAATTTAAACTCTAAAATATCTTAACAAGTAAGAATAACAAAATAATTATACTAACTTAACAATACCAAGAATATATAATATACGCACCTTACATCCAATATTCCAATCATTACTTCCATAGTTCCATTTTTATTGGATCAGAGTGTGAGACTAGTCGCTTGCAAAGGATTAATGAACAATACAATCAGCTTCAATCATACTGTAGCCTGGGGTTTTGAACACGCCATGTTGTGACATAACACCTCTAACATCATGAGCATTGTCCCAGTTTCCCTTTGAAGCATAGATGTTGGACAATATAACATGAAAACCATCATGGTAGGGCTGAAGCTCAAGAAGTTTCCTACCAACCCGGTTTCCCATTTCACTGTCACCATGCTTTTTGCAAGCTCCAAGCAACGCGCCCCAGGTGGGAACATCAGGAGCCATAGGCATGCTCTGAATGAGCTTTTCAGCTTCTTTAAGCAGTCCTGCACGGCCAAGTAAGTCAACCATACACCCATAGTGTTTCAAATTAGGTTCAATATTGTACGACTTCACCATAGAATCAAAATAATGGCGACCCTCATCCACCATACCCATATGCCGGCACACACCAAGAACTGCAAGCAAGGTTACCTCATTGGGAGTTGCTCCATATTTCTTCATCTCTTCAAATATTCCAAGAGATCTTTGTACATGTCCATTCATGGCCAATCCAAGAATGAGAGAATTCCAAGAAGAAACACCAATGTGTTCCATTCCATAGAAAACCTCCATTGCATTCTCTGAGCATCCACATTTCATGTACATGTCAATAAGAGTGGTACCTAGAATGTTATTAACCTTGATGCCTTTTTGTCTTATATAACCATGAATCCATTTGCCTTGTTCAAATGCTGCAAGGTGGGCACAAGCTGAAACCACACTAACTAAAGTTATCTCATCTGGCTCAATGTGCCCATGTAGCATTTCCTGAAATAAAGCTAAAGTCTCTATAAACTGATCATGTTGAGCATAGCCAGAAATCATTGTGGTCCACGAGACACGATCTTTCTCAGGCATAGAATCAAATACCTCCTTTGCTTTTTCTACTGATCCACACTTCACATAACAAGCAATTATCGAGTTCCAAGAGATTTGGTTCAAATTAATACTTGTGTCAAACACTTTTTGTGCGGAATTTACGTCACTGCAACAAGAATACATATGAATTAAAGCATTTTGAAGATTAACATATGATTCAAAACCAACCTTAGTGACCATCCCATGTACAGATTGTCCAGTGTCTAGGATCAACAAATGTGCACAAGCTGAGAGCACACTGACCACCACAACTTCATCTATAGTGATCCCAATGGAAGTCATATGCACGAACCAATCCCAAGCCTCTCTATAAAACCCATTTTGCTCATGGCATGAAATCAATGCAGTCCAGGAAACCAAATCGTTGCCAACCATTTCATTAAACAAACGGCAAGCCTCAACCACCATGCCACACCTACCCAGCAACACAATCATAGAGTTTGAGGCAATTACATTCTTCTCAGGCATTTGATCATAGATTAGCCTTGCTTCCTCAACATTCCCCGCTTGAACATACCCTGCCAAGATTGAATTCCAAGAAACCAAGTCACACACAAGACTTTCATCAAATATCTTCCTGGCATCACCCATATGTCCACACACAGCGTACATGTTAATCAAGGTATTATGAACATAAACATCTGATCTGAAACCCCTTTGGAAGACATGACTATGTAACTCTCTACCTTCAAATACTGAACACCGAAGAATGCTAGCTTGAAAAAGAATTGGATACGTATAATTATCCACATACAAGTTATCTCTCAACGTTGATCTATACAAAAAGAACGAATTTTGGGGCAAATTATGATGCATATAAGCTCTCATCATGGTGTTTATCGAAAAGCAATTCGGATTTTCAATGTGACCAAATATCATTTCAAGGGACTTGATGCTGATGAAGGGAGAATCAGCTGAAAACTTGAGAATTCTGCTAGCGGCATAAGTGTCTTTAATGAACCCAGTGGACACCATCCGTGATAAAATTTGTGAGAAGTACTTGACATTCTGGCAATGAAGGAGATGGGACTCCAAAATCGAGAGGTTCATGGTCAAACTGGAAAAAGATGTCAACAAAATACCGAATATGGTTGCAACAGAAGCACCTAACTTTTTGAAGTTAGTGTGTATTCAAATGTACATGGAAATGTGCACCTGTGAATCAAATCAGTTTCGTCATTCAGTGGTGGTTGTATTAGAGATGTGATCGCAAATCCAGAGATTTTTTGACGCAAGTTTTCTTGAAAGAGCTGAGCATGACTTCATAACAAGAAACATTTATATAAAAACTAAAAATAAATGATGTGTGATGCCATTATAAGGAAAATAACACTTTAACAAGAGTAATAATCATAATAATAAAAATCATACTAGTGGGTCTTAATTATAGAAAGATATCATCGTATAGGACTCAGAGGAGGATCTGGCATTCCCATTCAGTGGGGGCCAAAAAATTGTCGAACTATCTTAATATGTACCCGGATCCTTCAGTACCACTACCTTGTCCCATTTTTCATTTCATTTGTCGTACTAAATTTGTCTTGTACTATATTTACTACTTCATTTTTACTTTATTCACACTTTACTAATTCATATAACTTTCATTTTCTTAATAATTGAAAGTGCAGTGCTCCAATTCATTCTTCACTTTCTTAATAACTCCAATTCATTATTACTTTAAGATTTGTTCAATCTTAGGGGACGGAGGTCGTATAAAATAGCTCCTGAGTACTCAAGCACCAGTCAGTGGACATGATATGAGCAAAGAAACCTGATATTATTATTACCATTATTATTATTATTATTATTATTATTATTTCCATCATTTGCAATGGAGCCAAAGATTCATTATTTTTTGGCTTGAGATTATGGTGGAATAAAGCAAAATGACTCACTAAACTGTCTGCGCTTCTTTGTTATGGAGCAGCAGTCAGTCCATGCAATTTTGGACGCGTTTTTCACTATGGGTCATCGGGAAACAGTCTCTCTGTGCTTTAGCAAAGGGGTAAGACTGCGTACATCCGACCCCCCCTTACCCCACCATAGGTGGGAGCCTTTGCGGCACTGGGGTAAATGAAAATGAATGAATGATTATTATTCTAATGTCTACTCTGGACAGGTTCCTATTATGCATCATCTCCTTTTATAATTATTCCTATTATGCTTTTAGCGACTTTCTAATTACTCCATGTATCATTTATTTCCTTTTAGAAATAGGACACTTGTAATAGCTATATAAAAGTCATCGATATTATTCAATAAACAGGTTGTGGGGAATTATTTCATGTGTATCTTGATTAAGGTCAGACACCTATTGATAGACACTGGTGATCAATTCAGAACAATAGAATACACACAATCACAGTAGAACAGTATATAGAATTGTTTATTGAATTCAGAAGAAATCCACAGAGGTATACAATCTCAGGGACCATTCGAGATGCCCAATCTCCAACTACTAGCCAACCAAATTCTCAGCTACCTTACTCCACTCTTCTACCTTCTATTTATAGTCACCCTTCACTTAAGGCATAACCGCCTAACTTACCCCTTATAAGAATCCCAACGGATTACTTATTCCTCCTTTTGTACACCTTATCAAAATATTTAATAGGCTGGGACACCTGCCTATCATTACTCCCCCCCTGAAATTTCACCTTGTCCTCAAGGTGAAGACCTGGAAATTGATCTGCTAGAGCTTGTAATGGTTCCCAAGAGTCTTCAAACTGTGGTAGGCCCTTCCAGTGCACTAGGACCTCTATCTTGCCTTCTTTGTTCATCCTTGAGTCCAACACCTCCTTTGGACTGACTTGTAGTTCCCATTCTACACTGAGGCAGTTAGGTAGAGGCTGAAAAACAGTTGTAGGGGATATTGCCTTCTTTAGTAGGGAAATGTGAAACACTGGATGCACTCTACTATCTTCTGGGAGTTTAAGTTTGAAGGCTACAGAACTGAGTTTCTCCATTATCTCAAATGGACCATAGTACCTAGGACTGAGTTTCTGATTGATTCTTTTGGTTAAACTCTTAAGTTTATATGGCTGAATCTTCAAATAAACTTGATCCCCCACATTTAGAATCACCTCCCTTCTATGTTTGTTAGCTTGTTGTCTCATCTGATTTTGGGCTTTTTCCAGATTTTCCTTCAACTCTTTAAGTATCATATTTCTTTGAGCAGTTAGCTTAGACACTTCCTCCACAGCAGTTAAAGTGACATCCCCTCTTACCACAGTAGGGGGTTCCTGCCCATATAGAGCCTTATAAGGTGTCATTTTCAATGAATTGTGGTAATTTGTATTGTACCAGAATTCAGCCCATGCCAGCCATTTAACCCACTGCTTAGGCTTACTCCCTGTCAAGCATCTCAAATAAGTCTCGAAGCATCTGTTTACCACTTCAATCTGGCCATCAGTCTGGGGTGATATGCAGTACTGTATTTGAGTTGGGTTCCAGCCAATTTGAAGATTTCAGACCAAAAAGTACTCAGAAAAATTCGATCTCTGTCACTAACAATGGTTTTTGGAAAACCATGCAATTTGACAATCTCTTTAGTAAATAAATCAGCTACTTCCTTTGCAGTAAAAGGGTGGGATAGAGCCAAAAAATGAGCTGATTTTGTCAGCCTATCCACTACCACCATTATAGTGTCCTTGCCCTGTGATGTAGGCAGACCTCCTATAAAATCCATACTGATGTCAGTCCAAATATTTTGAGGAATAGGTAGAGGCTGAATCAGTCCAGCTGGTTTTAAGGCTTGATATTTGTTTGTCTGACATGTAGGACATTCCTCCACAAACTTCTTTATGTCCTTCCTCATTCCCTGCCAATAAAACAAATTAGAAACCCTCTTCATTGTCCTGAAATACCCAGAATGCCCTCCTACTGCTGAGCTGTGATATTCATTCAATATTTTTGTCACTCTAAGAGATGCACTAGGTAACACTAGTTTCCCTTTGTAGTAGAGTAACCCTTTCTTGTTCTGGAAGTCTGGGTATTGATCTGGCTTTGAAACCAGATTCTTGACAAGTAACAATTGATAGGGAATGTAAGAATGGTCTTCTGGATAATGCATCTGCAACTCTGTTTTCAATTCCTGGTTTGTACTTGATAATGAAATTAAACCCCATTAGTTTGGAAGTCCACTTTTGTTGTTCTTCCCCCATTAGTCTTTGCTCAGTCAAAAATCTCAAACTTTTCTGATCTGTGTGAATTTCAAACATTCTTCCCAAGAGGTATGGCCTCCATTTTTGGACAGCTAATACTATAGCCATCAACTCCCTCTCATACACTGATTTATGCTGATTTCTCTGAGATAACTCCTTGCTCATATATGCAATGGGCCTTCCTTCCTGCATCAGTACAGCTCCCAGACCAGTCCCAGATGCATCAGTCTCTACTATAAACATTTTATCAAAATCTGGTGTTGCTAGTACTGGCAGGGTAGTCATAGTCCTTTTTAACTCCTCAAAAGCCTTGGTAGCTTCTGGCCCCCACTGAAAACTATCTTTCTTCAACAATTGTGTTAGAGGTAGTGCAATCTTGCTATATCCCTGCACAAACCTTCTGTAATAACTTGTCAGTCCCAGAAATCCCCTCAACCCCTTCAAGTCCTTGGGTTCAGGCCACATTGTCATTGCCTCAATCTTTGTGGGGTCTGCTGCTACCCCCCCACCAGATATGATGTGACCCAAGTAAATTAATTTAGACTGTCCAAACGAACATTTCTTTGCATTAATCACCAACTGATTATCTTGTAAAGCCCCCAGAACCTTCCTCAAATGCTCTTGATGTTCCTCCACTGATCTGATGTAAACTAGGATATCATCAAAAAAAACCAATGCAAACTTCCTCAGAAATGGCCTCAACACTTGATTCATAAGGGCTTGAAAAGTTGATGGTGCATTTGTTAACCCAAAGGGCATTACCAAATACTCATAATGCCCCTCGTGAGTCCTAAATGCAGTTTTCTACCTATCCTCCTCCTTCATTCTTATCTGGTGGTATCCAGATTTCAGATCCAGCTTAGAAAAAATGGTTGCCCCACCCAATTCATCCAAAAGTTCTTCAATGATGGGTATAGGATACTTATCAGGTATAGTAATTTTGTTGAGAGCCCTGTAATCACCACAGAATCTCCACCCCCCATCCTTCTTCTTTGCCAGTAGAATAGGACTACTATAAGGGCTATTGCTGTGTTGAATTATACCCTCATTCAACATTTCTTTTATAATCCTTTCAATTTCTGTCTTCTGGTACTGTGGGTACCTATAAGGTCTGATATTAGGAATGCAAGCTCCCTCCTGAATGTGAATAGCATGATCACAACTTCTTCTTGGTGGCAATTGCTTCCTAGGTTGGACCACTTCTGGAAATTCATCCAATAATTGCTTCCAAGTGTCATCTTCTGCCTCCCCTTCCACTGAAACTACAGAAATTCCTTCACAAAACACCAAGTATCCATCCCCTGCATCTTGTAATATTTGAGTCATGGTTGTCAGTGAGACTTCCAAAGAGTTTAACTGTGGATCCCCTTGTACCAACTGCTCCTGTCCCTGTTCCTTCCATCTTATAGTCTGCTTTTGGAAGTTGACTTCTACATCCCCCAAACTTGCCAACCACTCCATCCCCAGCACTACATCTGTTCCCCCCAATTCCAAGATGTAAAAATCTTGTTGTATCACTGCTTTCTGTAAACACAGAGTTAACCCTTCACATCTGCCATTGTTAGCTATTCTATCTCCATTCCCAATCTGCACTTTATATCCCCTAATGGTTTGATAGGGTATTTTCAATTGATTTACCAACCCTTGTGATATGAAGTTGTGAGTGGATCCACTATCAATCAATACATCCACTTCTTGTTCTCCTAGCTTCCATTTTAGGTAACCTTTCACTTTAAAAGCTCTCATGGAAGGAATACCTTCCTTGCTCATCAATGATAGTTGCATGGATTTGGATTCCATTACAACCTCTTCCTCATCTGAACTGCTCCCATTTTCTTCCTCACATTCTGCCTCCTCCTCAGAATCTTCCACCAAAATGAGTTTGTAATTTTTTAATTTGCAGGTGTGTTCCCTACTCCATTTGTCCCCACACTTGAAACATAGACCCTTTTTACTCCTCTCCTGATACTCCTCCTGGGACAACTGAGGGCCCACCTTTTTTACTCCTGAAGGATGAATCTCTGTCACTCTGGCCCCCTTAGTATTGAACCAGGGCTGAGAATTTCTACTACCTGATCCATTCTTCTCACTGTTGTAAGTGCCAGCACTTCCAGATTTGGACTTGTACCCTTCTCCCCAGTTCTGAACCTTCAATGGTATGGGTCCTCTCTCCCTTCCCATGAATTTGTCATCCTCCTTTCTTTTAGAATAGATTGCCTCATTCTTCTGTCCAATCATTATGGCTCTATCCATGGTTTCAGCTAAGGATTTGGAAGCATATAGTTTCAATTCAGATTTCACTTCCTTCTTCAAACCTGTGATGAAAATCCCCTTCAGCAAATCTGTATCCATGTTCTGTTGTGGTGCCATCACCATTTCAAATTCCTCCCTATACTCCAGCACGGTCCCAGTTTGTTTCAGGCTCAGAATAGGTCCGTAAGGGTTCTGAATTAACTCCGGTTGAAATCTACGAATAATAGATTTCTTCAATGTCTCCCAGCTCGTTTCTTCAGTCTGATTTTCCCACAAGTGGAACCAATTCAAGGCTCTATCCTCCATAGCGACCATAGATGCCTCAACCTTTTCATCCTCGTCAATATTGTTCAATCGAAAATACCTTTCCATTCTAATAATCCAGTTATAGGCTCCTTCCCCGTTAAACAATGGTAAATCTATCCTTCTACCATTACGTACAGGTATTCTCGAGTACACATCACTACGGCGATGAACGTTGATATTAGAGTGAACCGAGTTACCTCTGGAATGTACGGGGCTGATCGGCGATCGCGATCTCCCTCTGGCTCCCACTGTGGTCGCCAGTTTTTCATTCATCGCGGCCATAGATGCATTGATACTTTCCATCGCAGATCGCAACTCCAACTGTAACTCCGTACGTACTTCCAGAAGGTTGCGCTCCAATGAATCTACTCGATGCTCCATTTTAGCTCTAGTTCTGACCATCCACACCCGGAACGACTAATTTCTGAGGTTGCGACACAACTTCCGATCCACGCTGAGGTCACCAGGAACGAATTTGCTCTGATACCAATGATAGACACTGGTGATCAATTCAGAACAATAGAATACACACAATCACAGTAGAACAGTATATAGAATTGTTTATTGAATTCAGAAGAAATCCACAGAGGTATACAATCTCAGGGACCATTCGAGATGCCCAATCTCCAACTACTAGCCAACCAAATTCTCAGCTACCTTACTCCACTCTTCTACCTTCTATTTATAGTCACCCTTCACTTAAGGCATAACCGCCTAACTTACCCCTTATAAGAATCCCAACGGATTACTTATTCCTCCTTTTGTACACCTTATCAAAATATTTAATAGGCTGGGACACCTGCCTATCACCTATTATTTCTATTTCCTAGATCTGAAACGAGATCTCAGCCATGCCCATAACAATTTGGTATCAGAGCCATTAAGTTCCTTCATAGTTTGTCTTACTCCGACCCCTTGTGTTTTGTTTTCTTTGTCCAGAAATTTGGAAACAAAATGTAGCGTTCAGGCCGGTTCAGCATCTTCGCAACTAATATGCAGCAAACCACCATACAGAAGATACTCCTCAATCCATCATCAGTTTCTGTAGACCGTAGCCCTTTTATCCAACAAGATTGCATTGCTAATCTATCTAAAGATAGATTAGCACTTTAGCAATTCTGCAAACAGTTTGAGCATCAAGAAGAAGTAGTTTTGAGCGTAAATGCGGCAAGTCAGAACCTCTTGTAAGTTGACAAGTCTGCATGAAGAAAAACCAGATTGCGGCATTTTACCTGGCTGAGTAGTGCAGTGAAAGGAAGCAGGCAGGCGGGCAGGGTGCGGTTGGCGGTAGCAGTGGACAACGGTGGATGGTGGGTGGGTCACCACAATGCAGCCGTACCACTCTGTCGCTCGTCCCTCGTCTTTGTGGGTCTGTCAGTCTGTGACTTGTCTCTATGAGTGTAAGATCTAAAGCAGACAGCGTAGGTGGAAATGTAAACAAAAATATGGGTTCGAAGTTCAAGGAATGATTTGGGGATTTTGGCAAAAAAAAAAAAAAAAAGGATGACAATTTGGGTAAGTTGATTGTGGGCCCCCGGAAATGTAAAGAAAAATATGGGTACGTTGGGAGGATATAAATTGGACTATAATCACAATTTGTTAGATAGAGAGTGGGGTTCTGTCCCCGGTACTTGCAGAGGCCCTACGCATTTTTTAGCATAGTAACCTCTCATCGCAGTTGCCGGGATTCGAACCCGGGACCTAACCCTTGTGACACTCCCTCGCTACCAGTTGAGCTACGCCCACCGGTTTTGGGGATTTTGGATGAATCACTAAAGCCCTATTTTCAATTTATTAACTAAATTTTTTATTAAATGTCTATATTTTGATGGTTAATTATATTACACTACCTCCGTCCCCTTTTATTCATGAAGACAGAAGCTATAAAAATATAAAACATGAACTTAGATATATAAATTGGAGTCATAAGAACCCTAGTAGATGTAGAGATTGCCCCTCTGAAGTATGAAGATCGTATGCTTAGCGTCAAACGCGGACAAACATCGCTTAATGCACATGAATCCTTAAATTCGTCAAGAAGTTGTATTGTGATTCAAAACAGTTTTATCCTTAAATTTGAATTGTTTTCATATTTCCATTAAGTAAAAAATGAAATACTTGGAACAACAACATGTAGAAGCAGAGCATGGAGGGCATTATGTAGTAGAATTGCTTTATGATTTTGTTTAAATAGTAAATACTATGCATTTTTTGGTATATCTCAAGTGGGACTATTTTTCAGCATATAAATTGAAAAAAAAAAAACTGAACCGATAAAAATGAAAAAACTAAACCGTGGTTCCAAATTACAAAAGAAAAAATTTAGCCAATCATTTTCTTCTTCGATCTAGTATTTTGGTATCGGAACATGATAGAGCTAAATGAAGCCAAGCCACACCTACTTCCGCCTTATTTTTATTACTGAATGAACATAATAAGAAGGAATAGGGAATGAGGAGAAAATATATACACTAAACTTTAAAAAACTAAAACTGATAAAGTGACCTACAAAAAGTAATATCTTTTTCTCATATAAACATTTCATCGAACAGGTTACATGTTTTGAGGCGTCTAAAACTCATGTAAAAATTGAGAAATAAATTCATCAACAATAGAAAGAGGAGAAGAGGCAAAGACTAACTTACATGAAACGCAAAGCAAGGCACATTTGTTTGATAAAATGGTGCTAATTAACTCCAAAATCTGCACATAAATTTTAGAAAGGATTTGTTATGAAACAGTTAACCCAAAACACAATCTTGGCTTTGTTTTTCATAATAAATACATGATTTCAAATGGAGTCCTGAATAGATTGAGAATGAATATAGGAGCATTAGACTTAAAAAGAAGCATTGTGGCAGCCATCTTAAGGTAGAATAGATTCAATCTTCTTAAAGTTTTTCTTTTCTTTTTATCTCTGTAATACAATTTGATAAATTAATCATTCTTCTTATTTTTCTAACATGGAGTTGGCCTAGCTAACAAAACCCTCTTACATACTATCGTATTAATGTTCTGTGTTTTAAGCAAAATTTAACATCATATATGCAAGCATAGTACTGAAGAAGAAAAACTACATTTTCTACTATTAAAAATTAAAATTCTGTTCCTACATTAGGAAAGATCAACTAAGCATTTCATAGAACATGTGTGCAAAATATACTGAGGATACATGAGCCCTGTCTTAGTCCATTGAATTTCAGTATCTTTAATAAAAACAAAAGCTATAAAACATCTAAAACATGAACTAAGAGATATAAATTGGAGTAATTAGCAGATATAGAGACCCCTTAGTATGAAGATCGTATGCTTTAGCCTCAAGCCCGGACAAACACCACTTCAAACGCATGAATATTTAGACCGATGTGTTTTGAAGTAGGAAGAACAGTTTGATTTGGAGGTTACTATAACAATCGTAACCTTCTGGTGGTGTGGTTGGAGACTTGGACATGGTCAGATGGAAGTGAGGTGCGAAGAGAGGCGAGAGACCGGCAAACCGCGATTTTAATGGGATTGAACTTTTGAAGATAAAAAAAATGGGTCAGAGGAGCGAAAAGAAGAAAAATGGCTGTTTTTATTCTTAGATAATAAAAGACATCTTAAGAAGTGTAAACACAAATACAAAAAGAATGGCTCCCATGAATCCAAACAATATTTAGTCGAAAACAATGTGAAAAGAAAATTCAAAGTGACCTGGTCAGAGGTTAAGGAAAATCTGCAGAAAATAGAAAACAAAGTAATTTAAGAAAAAAAAATTGGAATTCGCATTCTATCAAAATAAAAAAGAGAAGAAAAATAATTCATTTCATTTCATTGGTATTGTCAGGAAAGAAAAGTAGCATATGCAGATTAGATCAAAAGAGTTCTCAGAGAGTACCCTTTGTATAGTATAATGAGGGGTACATATAAGTAGGAAGCGAAAGAAGACTCAACACTGAATATAAGTTTAAGAAGAGTCACATATATACTTCCTCGAAATCAAAACATTGTGAGGCTCCAAAAAAATTTAAGTTGTATCGAAATTCGAAACCGATCAATGCACACTTCAATAGCCATATATGAGATGAATAAATTCCAAAAACAAAAAAGTGGTAGGTTTGCAGGAAAGTAAACTAAAACGAACAGGAATCAAAACTAAAACTGAACTATAAAACCTAATATATGTTTTATCATATAATCATTTCATCGAACATTTAAAATCAACTTAATTTAAAACCGGCCTTAAAGATAGGAACTTACTTTAAAAGCTGCTTTAAAGATAGGATTTTTTTTATGTGTTATGATAGATCCGGGACTTACTCGTGTTCTGTAAACATTGAAAATGTACTTATTAGGCTTGCCAAAATGGTTAAGAAGATATAACTTATGAGGAACATATAATGTATTCATAAGTATACATAATTTACGAAGATAGACATTAGACTTTTATTTACGGTATAGCAGCTTGTGAAGTACTTAGAGCTTACTCTCATTTCAACCACAACAAATTCAATGAAAACCTTCAGGAAATGAAAATAAAAGTAGATTAGTAAAAAAGTCGTGGTTGCATCAATACTTCTTTGTCTTATTGGGTTAAGATCTTGAGCGTAAAAGGCGGTACTAAGAGAAAAAGACAATAAGAAAGGTGCCAAAGGAACATATATTGGAGGAGTATAAATGTAATGGTAATATATGTTTTCTTATATAGAGTAAAAAGCATGAGTTTCTAAGAAGACATGAGCTGGATGGTATTTACAAAGATCCCTATATGACCCTAAAGTAACTCATTTTTCAAACTTCTATTTACTACCTAAGAGAACAATAGGCTAAAAAAGAAAAAGAATATGAAATGTAATGCCTCTTAAAAGGGAGTTTCATGGCAGCCACATTAGCACTATGAAAACTCATGAATCAAGCCTATATGTTATAAACCAATGAAAACAGGGGGAGATAGATACATATCTTACTCAGACTCTCACAGGTTACAACTAATAATAATAACTATACCAAAATTAAGAGCGTAAAAGTGAAAACACACTTAAGCATTTCATGGAACACCTTATATGCTTAAAAATGTATACTTGCAGTGATAGTAAAAAACAATTTGAAACAGAGAACCAACAAACAAAGAACTTCGATCAGTGAATGCAATGCCTCTAAAGATTCAACAAAAAATAGAGGTGCCTAACCATTCATTTAAACTTTTTGTTCAACCCACAGAGATAAGTTGAATCTGTAAGAGTTCAAATAAAGGTAGAGATTACATGTAAAGGAGAAAATGAAGTGTTCAGAATTCAGGTAGTATCCAAAATCAAGTTTCTGAAATCAGGCCAATTGCAATAAGAAATCCAAAATATTAGTAAATTGTATGAAAAAATATGAAGATTGTTTGGAAATTTATTACCAGGATACCAAAAAACATACCTGTGAAGTGTGGATCGAACCCGCGGCTTCATTTGCGCCAGAGAAATTCAGGAATGTTACCCAATGATGATGAAGAAGAATGTAATAATGGGAGAATTCTGGTTGTTCTCAACAATATAAGAAGACACGTGGATCCATATAGAATGAAAATAATAATTCCAATTAATATTGGTCCGCCATTAATAATAATTAGGGAAATTAACTATTAACCCCCTGAGTTTATATCATAATTATTAATGCAACCTTTCATTTTAAAAAATCAATTACTTACCCCCTCAGTTTGGATCATTCTCGTTCTTTGCCCCCTCACGGTAATATTTGTTAAATTTAAATTTAATATAATTCTTAAATTCAATAAAAAATGTCTATAAAATTAGTTTTTAATGTAAAACACAAATTAGTATCATAATTATAAGTCATTGTTGTTGATCGTAGTTAATAAAAAATTTAAAACACAAATTAGGTCTTAGATTGACCGCTTTCAATTATTCAGATCATGGAATAATTGGAATAATCATCACACATTTTGTCTTTTAGGTCCCTTATCCAATTAAACCTATATTTTAGGTCATGGAATGATAACAAAATCTTAGTATTTCTTCTTTGATACACACGAAAGAAATGTCATTGCTATTACTTCAACCGAATGAACTACAAATAAGACTTGTATATTCATAATGAAGAAATGTCTAGAATATTGATAACACATTTTATAAACAATTCTTTTTTATGTATCACATGAATATGACTCGTGAATCTTCCCCTTAACTACTCTCATTAATTGTCACTCCACGGTCGAGTAGTTAAGTAGAAAATAAATGATATGATTATCAACAATGACTTATAATTATGATGAAAATTGTTTTATATTTTAAAAATTAATTTTAAATACAACTTTCATTGAACTTAAGAGGTATATTAAACTTCATTTAACAAATATTAACGTGAGAGAGTATATAGTGATAATGATCAAAACTTAGGGAAAAACTAATTGATTTTTGAAAATGAAAAATTGCATTAATAATTGTGACATGTCCTCAGGAGCTAATAATAATTTTCCCTGATAATTAAAACATCACAATCGGGCAACCCACAAAATATTTCCTTACCCGTGAAGTTCTACTTTTTTTGCCTTCGAACATGTATGTAGCCACCGCTACAAGTAATGGGGGTTTGGTGACGAGATGCCTCTTTCTTTCTTATTTCTTTTTTTTTTTCCAGTTTTCTGTTATTTATGTACTACCTCCGTCTCGGTGAACTTTGTCAAGTGCAAAATAGGTGAGAAATAAGAATAGTAAAAATTGTGGTTGAGATTTGTGCAGAGTATAGAGAAATGTGCAGAACCACAAGTTAGTTAGTTTAATTGTAATACGTGTTGTAATGTTGAATACTTCACTATTTTGTGTCTAGTATTGTTACCCGTGTCGTGCACGGAATAAAACATACTTTAATTTTTAATTTTATTATACTATGTGTGGAACATAGAGAAAAATATTTGATGGTGCCACTTCCGGTCTTCCACTCCATGATAACTAAAGAGCTCAGGTCACTAAAGAAGATGTTGATATCGAAGCACGGTTTGAAAGACCAAAATGGATTCATTATTACATAAACCCAATTAGTAGCTCATCATCTTGCCATAGAAGAACTGAACATCAACCTCATATATTTACTCCTCGCAGTAAGCTTTCCATTAGTGTAAAGGGCCTCCTACACGCACACTATAAGGGAATTTCGTACATCTGTACTTAACTTGTCATATTTTCGTTTTCGTCCCTGTCTGAATTTCTTTTCACTATTAATGAAAAAATTCCACTTTTGATCGCATTACTATTATACCACTTCCACATTTAGTCTCTTACTTTCAGATTGTCCACATTTAGTCCGTGACCATTATTCCTTCACCACCCCTCGTCTTACTGACCAAAATTCCGAAAAATTTAGTCCACTTCTTAGTCTTAGAATCAGTCCTTGCATTAAATTTTGTATCAGATAGGGTTTTTCAAATCAACCTTTGCATTAAATTTGGTTTTTCATACCTAAAATATGCATTAAATTTACCGGAATTTTGGCTGGAAGGACGAGGGGTGATGAGGGGATAATGGTCACGGACTAAATGTAGACAATCTAAAAGTAAGGAACTAAATGTGGAAGTGGTATAATAGTGATGGGACCAAAAGTGAAATTTTTTCCACTATTAATAGTACTTGGTGAATGACAATCGAGACTTACCACATTCATTTTGATGATTTAATTTCTGGTTTAAAAAATTTTTGTGGCATTAGATTTTAATTGTAGTGATGACCAAAATATTAGGTTGCATGAGGGAATTGGTAATTGGGCCTTTGCGCCGGCAGCGACAACGGTGATTAGTTTATTTTTCATTAGAATTATTGAGGTTCCTACCATTATGTTCATCAGTTTTTTTATTTGTGCGTAGGAAATAAAGGAATAGCTTTGGAAAATAGTTGTGTATGCCATAAAGGAATAGGCTAATCCGTTAAATGAGTTCTTCTGTGAAATAAACATGAATTATTTGAGCACAAACAATAGCCATAGTCAAATCAAATCAACGACCATAGTCACTGAAACATGCTAATATGCTAACTAGAATGCTGTCTAACAGACAATATTTTTTCGTGCCAGACATTTTATGTCTGGACCTGACAAAAGAGTTCTGTCTACAAACAATATTTGTTTGTCCTAGACAATTCGTGTCTAGACTTGACAAAAAAGTTATGTCTAACAAGCAATATTTATCTATGCCACATAAATCATGTCCAACGATTTTTTAATGGTGTCAAAGACAATTCACTTAAAAACAAAAAAAAGTCTGTATACAAACAAAACTTGCATTGTATAGAAATTGTCTGTACACAGACAATTCACATACAACTATTGTACAAACACACAATAAATGTTTAGGCACAAATTATTACTAACAATAGTTACACACTAACAAATGTATTACAACAGTTGTGTGTGTGTAATTTTTGAAAAGTTGTGTGTTGCAATAGTGAATGTTTTAATCCCTTCTAATCATTCAACAAATTTACAACATGTTTTTAGATGCTCTTCAACCAACTTATACTAAAACGAGTATAAGATTAACAACTACTCAATCAACTTAAAACATGTCCTTCACCAAAATTCAAAGTCATTTTTATAATACAAAAGATA